CTGATTTTTCTCTCAATTGATCCAAATGAGTGAGTTTTTGCCATAATTATATGTAATGCTGGTAATAATGAGGCTGATTATCAATCTTTGCAACTTTTCACTATTTCCATCATTACAGATTTTAGGGGGAGGTGGCAGGGGTGGAGGGAGATAGGAATGGAGAAGGGGGGAGAGGGAGGGAGAGAGGAAAAGATATTGCTTTTCCCCTCCACCATTCAAGCGCTAGAAGAAGCCACCTCAGGCCCTCCTTTGGGGATAGGTGCCTCGGGGGACTGTCTTGGGCTGGCTTTGAAAGGCTGGTCAGGGCTGGCCTGCATGGAAGGAATCAGGGGAATCAGTCTGTGGACTGTTGAATCTTTGTGTCCTTATGTTCCTGCCCAGAGGCCCTGGGGGCTGACCATGGGGACAGAAGGAGGAGCTTCCCTCCCACCCCCAACACACTCTTTTGCTTCCACAGTGCTCCTTTATTTTCCCTATTGAGAAAGCCCAAAGGAGATTTGGTAGCAGAAAAGGTGCCCATCAAACGATACAGCTTCTACTTCTCTTCCCTATTCCCTGGGAGTTCAAGGTCTGGTGTCTTGGTGCACACGCATCTGTGCAAACATAGAGCTACGTGCCTATAAAATACTCTCTCATCCAATCTTAGGGTGACTGTGTAGCTCAGATGTGTGAGAGTGCTTTTAAATGCTGATAACAGTTCAAACATAAGCAATGCATTTAGCAAATTTTTGGCATCCAGTGCCCCTTTTCTGGAATGAGGAGAGAGGAAAAGTTGGGCTGCACTGGGAACCCTGAAGAGAAACAGAGCTGGGGTTTGAGCTGTGAGGCTGGAGTCAGGATGGGCAGTGTCCAAGTCAGAAAGTGCCAGGGTCCAATCCTGAGACAGGGCAAGGGTTGGGTTGGGGAGGGCAGGAGTAGGAAAGAAATTGGAGCCAGGGAGCATGAAAGAAGAGCTGAGTAATTGCTATAAGGAGTGGCACAGCCAGTGATTATAGTACATGGTGGGCCTGGTATTGAAATCCACAGCTGCTGCTTTTCCTCTAGGTTAAATGCCACCTGTATCCTTTACTAGCCTTAGTTCCCTTGGGCAAATTACTTAATTTCTCTGTTCCCCAGTTTTAGCATTTGTGCAATAGTAGCAAAAATAGTACCAACCTCTAAGGGGATTGTAGGTATGAAAGGAATCAATATATGTGAATTGTTTAGAACCATGCCTGGCTCATAGCAATTGCTCAATAAATGTTATCTGTTATCTGTTGAGTGGAGGGGATGACATTAAAGTATCAGTTAAAGAGCCTTATATGGCTGCCTCCTGCCCACCTTGCTTCTATGTAGTAAGAGCCGATCAGCACAGCCAACCAGTGACTAAGTCTCCCTGGGAGTAGGAAAACAAGTCACGTGTCTGAATAGTCTGTGATTCTTGGGCCTGTGCACCCCATCCCTCCATTGGAGAAGAGGAGGAAGGATTGGGTATGGATTATGCCTGGCGTGGGGGGGAATAGAGTGGGACATGGCTCTGAGATGTCCCCTTAACTTCAACTGGAAAGTTCTGACTCTTAGAAATAACTTCCTACCCTTCCCCACGGGTGTTAACTGTTATCAATGATTCATTACAAGTTTCCGTTCCACCCTGAAGAGGGTTGCTTAATGGGACAGCAAACCCTCTACCCTGGCAGAGGAGTAAAGGGGTGGAAACACCAAGCCATTTGCTGCCTTGTCTAGCCAGTCAGAAGACTCATGCTTGACATTTCACTTTTATTGGCTGAGAATGAGGTTGCTAAGCAACTTCCTCACCTTGGTAAGGATCCATAGTTCTAAGTACTGGGTTTCTCTTTCTCATTAAGTCCCTTTTCGTCATTCCCCTCAACCCCCAAACACACAGACCCACCTGCAATTAATTATTCAGAGATTTCAAAGATTTGGCTTTTGGTAAACATTAGAGACATGGATTTCTTATGTAAATAATTGAGTTGGCAAACTACATATAGTTATACATATTAATTAAAGTGATTCTATTCATTGATTAGTCAACAAATATTTTTTGAGCATCTACCATGTCCCAGGGACAGTGCCAGACGCCACAGTGATAATCATTAACAGCAAGGGTGGAACTGAAACTATGTGACAACCACCAGAGTAAGTAGCATTTGGAATGGAAGTCAGCATAGAGGACCTCCATGAGGCAGGCTGGGTGATGGGGAGATCTGGGTGATCCTCAGGGAGGGGTGGGGGTGGCCGAGATGATGACGCAGCATCAAATAGCAGTGGCTATTTACTCACCAGTTCAGAAAACTCAATATTATGAGCAACTGGTGTATCCAGTGTATGGCAATGACTCTTTTTAATAGAGCATTTGCTTCTGGGCTGGCTTCGGCTAAACCCTTTTCCTACATAATCTTCCACAATGGCATTCAAGGCAGACAGGGCCCTCCTACACACATTCGCAGTACAGTAAGTAATTGTGGCTGCTGCCGTGGGGCCGGTGGCCTGGTTGCTCTCGGCATCTTCTAAGGTAGAGGGTGCGTCTACATTAATGGGTGAGAAGTTGTGGTTCAGAGAGGTTAAGTTCCTTGTTAAAGTTTATACACCTGGGAAGTGGGGGTGCACTGAATCCAACCTAGGACTTTCTGGCCTCCAAGTCTTTCTTCTTTATAGATGGCACCCCTGCAGCCATAGCACCACGATGCACATGGCAATGTTAGAAATCGATACATGTACCCACCCTGCAGATTCCCCACAGCTTTGGTTCCTGGTGATGGTGTCAGCATCCAAACTGCAGTTTGAGGTCCCAGTAAACCTGAAGGTCTGACATGGTCTGGCTGGTGATGACAGGACTCCTCGTGAGTGGACCCTCTCAGACCACTGCCACATGCCCTTCCTTCTCTTAGATACTGGTGAGCCAATCCCCCTTGAGTGTTCATGACATGGCACTGGAAGGGATCCTGGAGGCTACAGGGGCCCAGCTCCCCACTGCAGAATGAGGTTCAGGAATAGGACCTCCTTAGGTATGTTGCCGGAAGGGGAGAGAAGCTGCCAAGGAAGTCCACTGGCCCCTGCCTGTTTGATGAGGTAATTTTTATTTAAATCATTGCCTGCACAAGAAGAAGAGCTCTGGGGAACACAGCATCCCTGCATTCCCTAGGTGTTGATCAGAGGCTTGGTGTGAGGACCAAGAGGGGCCAGGGAGAAGGTGAGGCCGGGGAGAACTGGACTGAGGGACCAGGGGGAAGAAAAAGGACTTAGGGTTTGGACTTGAAACCAAGTTTTTGGAAAACTGTGGTGCCTATGGGGTCCTGGCTATAGTGGGGTCCATATGAGTCCTATGGAAAAAAATTTAAAAAGGAGTGAGAAAGGAGGCTGATAAAATGTTGTGGGCAGCTGTGCGAGAATGGATGAATCCTCCATCAAGAAACATTTTTGTCATGAAAGTCATTGCTTTCCACTTTTTCTAAAAGCAAAGCTACTAATTTCGAAGAACCATCAGGTCATTATATGAGGCAAAGAACCAAAATGCACTCGTGTAGGGTGCATTTGTCATTTGGAATTAAAAAAAATGTCATTATAAAATAGCCCACCTCTTCTGGGTCTTTGATGTTTATTCAGCAGAATAAATCACATTTTTAAGGCCATTGCAAACCAAACTGTAACTTCCTTTTTTATTCTATCTCAACAATATACCATTTAACATACTACTGAGTAATCAAGGCATATTTAAATTGCCTTAATTATTATTATTACTATTACTACTACTAATAATAGCAATTTACTTAAGTTTCAAATCTCACATTATTTTCTTGAAGCAACTTGTAAATTCTCCAAGGTTCATAATATGTTTATTTTTTATGCAGGTCGATGTTTCTTAACCACCATTCCTTTGCTCCTCTTGGTGGAAGTCTACATATTGAGTATCCTCCTACTTGGACTTTCTCTTAGGCCAATTGACTCTTTTTTTTTTTTTTAAATTGATCCGATATTTTTAGGCAGATGGTTTGTACAAAAATGGAAGCCCAGTCACTTGATATAAACAGGAGAAAACATATGAAACAATTAATATTTTTAAAAAGTTTGCCTCTATACTACTTAGAATACCTCCTAATTGTCCCTTGTCACAGAGGACAGGTCCCACCCCTTGGGGAGTCTGGGGTTGATAAATATGTGCAGCAAAGTCCTGTTCTGTCTGTCCCATAGCTCCAGGTCTGCAGTTGGGGTCTCCACTGGGGGCACAGAAGTGAAAAGCACAGTCTCTATGATCCATGCACAGCAAGACAAGACTGCAGAGTCTCAGGGCACTTTCATCTGTTTTTAGAACTCAGGGTTGGAAGGGAAAGTGAATTCTCTTCAGAGGTGTGGCTGTGGGGACAGGACAGCTGTCATCCCAGGGGAATTCACAGCTCCCCTTCCATCAGTCAAGTGGGGTTGGCTCCTAACTCACCTGTCACATTATCTTGGTATCAGGCTCAAGGTAGATATTGGCCTCTTTAAATGTTATAACCTTCCAGGGCCACAGAAGAGTCTAAAATGGTTCTTCCCAGAGGTCCGCTGGGAAGATTTTTAATTTTCTGAGCTTGAGTTCTTGGGAGCTGCCCTCTCCGCTCTCCTTTAGATGAACTTTCAGCTTGAAATCCCTTCATAATTGAGTTGTCTTGTCCTTTGTGATGGTATGGCTCTCCAAATCATCTTTACTGTCCTTGACAGTCTGGGCAGGAGAGAGCGTGGGCTTCAGATTGACAGTTTGAACCAAGCCTTTGCCACTTACTACTTGGGCACTGCCAGGACCATGCTTGGGGTAGGGAAACAAAAATGGCACCCACCCCTGACATTTAGCGGAATTATAAGGAAATAAACAACTATGGCAATATAGCATAATAGGTGCTGAGATTTGAGTAAGCATAAGATGTTATTAGAAAACAGAAAAGGGCACCAGAACAGACCAGGAACATCAAGGAAGTCTTTCTGGAGGAGGTGACACATGTGATAGACCTTGAAGGATGAATTAGAACATGCTGGACAACAGGGATGGAGACAAATCAACCTGGAACTGGGATCAGCTTGGGGGTAAGGCAGCCTCAGTTTTCTCTGAAATGGTCATCAGAGGCTTATGTCAGGATTAAATGAGTTAAGGCATGAAAATGGCAGGATACATAAGTAACTGTTCACTTGAACCTATTTGCCACTCATCTGTGAATGCACAGCCTGTTAGTCATCCTCACTGTGGTCCTGAGCACAGAGGCGCTTGGGATCAATCTATTATGTGCAGTTGTCTTGGACAGATGGAAATTCCCTAGGCACAGACCAGAAGGTCACTTCCTCCTTGGATGTGGGAGCAACAATTCTCTCTACAAGCAGATATTAATCAAGCTAGCGAAGGTGCCACAGGAAAGCCCAGGTTGAAAATTTTTCAGCAGGATATTTATGTTGAGAGTAGTTCCACAGTTACACTTTGTGTGGTTCCCTCCGGAGGTGGGAGCCCATCCCTCCATGTGTCCTACTCCCAACTTTACACTTACTGTCCACTGACATCTCCCAAAAGTTTAGGATAATGGGCTGTGTTTTGTAGGCAATTAAGAGATGTCTATGGAAGCAAAAATGAACCACTGGGGGTCAGGCATTTGCTCCCTGGGCATCTTTGCATGGGTCACACTGGGCAGGTGGCATCTCCAGCTGGGGTATTACTGACCACCTCCTGCATTAACTCTTTTCCTTCCTTCCATGAGGATGACATGGGTCATGGATGCTGAGGTTGAACCAGGTGAGGCTGTTTGGCACATATTTCTTTGAGTGTTCCTGCCTGCCCCCCTTCCCATAACATCCTCCTCCCTACAAGGGGTACAGCTCTGTGATTTAGGGCTTGAGCCTTCTAGGCTGCAGACCTGGAGGTTTATAGCTCCTCTCTTCCGGAGAGAATGTTCCGTCCTGTGCCCCTGAGATGACACTGGGGTTCCCTTTTTTTTTCTGTTATCTGGACTTACAACTGACTATAAAGAAACTTGGGCTCAACTTCTCTGGGCTAATGGCACCCGATGATCATCTGCCCAGAGACAGTCATGGAAACTGGTGGCAGCCGCATTCTGTCCCCAGAGGCAGAATCATTACAGGGCCATTTTTACTTGCCTTCCCAGGCCAGGCCTGGCCATCCTGATTCTCCCTGTGCTGCGGGGACAGGAGAGCAAGGACCTCATTGACACAAAGCTGCATGGACACAGGAAGTCTAATAGGACACTAGTCCCTGTCTTCCTCTTTGTCATGATGGAACATGACCCTCAACATCAGGAACTGTGTGATTCCATCTGAATCCCTGGCAGAGGGCATGCCTCATGCACCTTAATAAATGCTCACTGCAGCACTGCCTCCATTCCCAGAGGAGATGAGCTTGAGGCAGGGATTCTGGAGCAGCGTGGGTGCTGCTCCCTCCATAAAACTCCTACAAGGGGGGGTGGTAGCAAATAGAAAAACCCAGTCTTTCCTTCACAAGAAAGAAAAGCTCAGGTGTCCACCCCCTGTGTGTTTCTCCTTTTACACAGAATATGTTAAATACTTGGTCACCAAATATGTTTTTTCCCCCCACACCAGCAATTCTTTGTGATGCCAGCTGGGTCTTGCTAACCTGTTCTGACAATGTCTACCAGGAGGTAGTATCAGATCCCAGGCTAAGGGCTTAGTCCCACAAGGTGGCTCCCCCCACCCACCCCGCCCCACTTCAGATGCCAACTGCAACTGTTAGTTGTCACCTGTGCCTCTGACTGGTTACAGATCAGAAGTTCCCACATCCCCTCCTTGGGTCCAATTAATTTGTTAGCATGGCTCATGGGACTCAGGAAAACATGTTCACAAGTTTATTAAAGGATATGAGAAAAGATACAATGAACAGCCCCATGAAGAGGTACACAGAGCCAAGCAAGTCTGCAAGGGTTCCAAGGGTGGGAGCTTCTGTCCCCATGGAATTGGGGAGCATCACCCTCCTGGTATGTGTATGTACCCACAAACCCCGAAGCTCTCCAAATCCTGTACTATGAGGATTTTTATGGAGACTTTATTACATACCCACGGTATGAATGATCATTAACTCCATTTCTAGCCCCTAACTCCATTTCTACCTAGAGAATGGGGTGTGAGGCTGAAAGTCCCAAGCTTCTAATCAAGGCTGGGTCTTTCTGGTGACCAGGCCCCATTCAGTGGCGGCCCACCCAGAGGTGTCTTTTTTTTTTTTTTTAAGATTTATTTATCTATGCATATAAGAGCTGGGGTACAGGACAGAGATGCGGGGGTGAGAGGATTCACCAGAGACAGAATGGGGAACAGAACAGGCAGACTGACTGAAATACACTGCTGAGGGGAGCAGCGGGCGAGACAGGTGGGTTGCTCTCTGGTCAGCTGGGGATCGAACTCGTGCTGCAGAAGCCGTGGACTGCCCCATAGTGTGGTGCCCAACCCCTTGCGCCACAGGGAGACCCCCAGAGTTGTTTTATTAGAACAAAGCACACACCTATCACTCAAGAAATGACAAGGGCTTTAGGAGTCCTGTGTCAGGATCTGGGGTCAAAGACTTAATGTTAGAACAAAAGGTGTTCCTGGTGCTCTTCTCATTTAGGAAATTCCAAGGGATTTAGGAGCTGTGTTCTAGGGATTAGGAATAAACACCAATACATATTTCTTATTACAAACCACAGCATCACAGGTATTGACTTGCCCTCTCTGTCTGTCTGGCCTGGCCTGAGTGGTCAGGTCACGGTGACTTGGCAGCGGTGCCCAAGTGTTCCCCTGCATGTTGATCTGACTCCATCCACGGTGAATTCCAGGTAGGGTGCCAGGGAACTAACACATAGGTGAGTGTTTCTGTCCTATATCAGATCTTCCTCTTTGGTTCTTTGCCTTTATTCTGCCAACTTGATGTGGATTGAGCTCCTTGGGTTCACAGGTATGCAGGTGTAGCTGGAAGGAGGGGTAAGACATAGGAAACAAAAACTGGGGGCCTCTGTCCTCACAGGTGCCCTCTCTGTGCTCCCTAACCTTGATCACCTATGTTCTCCTTACAGGTTCTCCTGGCCACTCCGGCGCCACGTCCCTGAGCCCGTCGGCAGCCTTGTCCACTGGGAAGCCAATGGATAGTCACCCCAGCTACACCGACACCCCAGTGAGTGCCCCGCGGACTCTGAGTGTGGTGGGGACCCCTCTCAATGCCCTGGGCTCTCCGTACCGAGTCATCACTTCTGCCATGGGCCCACCCTCAGGAGCGCTGGCAGCCCCTCCAGGAATCAATTTGGTTGTCCCACCCAGCTCTCAGGTAGGTGTGTCCTTCCTCTCCAAGGACTTTTCAGCCACTCACAGTTTCACACAGGCTGACCCTGCAGCCAAGTTAGCACGTGACAGGCCAGGATGCTTGCTGGAGAGTTGGGTGTCTCTGTAGACCTTTCTCTTGCAGGACCTTCCATGAGGGTGTCTTCAGGTGGGCGGCCCCTTTTGTAGGTGTGGACTCCACTTGTTCTTCTCAGTTTAGTAATGGGTTTTCATTGAGTGAACGAAGTGCCTGGTGCCCTATTACATGCTCCAGAGGACACAGGAATGGTCAGGCCTTGGTCTTTGCTCTCCAGGAGCTTACACTTGGGAGGGAAAATAGGCAATTATGGACATGGAAAAATCTAGAACAGGGCAGCCAGCCTATGTTACATATGTGCCACCTCTGAGGTAGAGACAAAGCTGGGGGAATGCAGGAAGGAAACCGCACCTTCTACTACAACAGAAGACAGCTGTGTGCATGGCAGATACCATGTGACATCCATCTGAGGCACCTAGTGGATAGCCAGCGCCCTTTACTTCCTCTGGCAGGTCACACTGAGATCAGCATCCCGCCTCTCTTGTGGAGCTCGGCTATGGCTGTAGCAACGCTGCATAACAAACAATCCCCAAAGTGCTGTGACCTACAAAAGGACAAATTTCTATGAATAACTATAAGAAAGTGAAAATCAAAATCAACAAACAACTATGAACCAGAGACTCTATGGGTGGTGGGGGGCGGGGAGGGGAGGGATTAGGGTCAAAACAAGGGGATTGCAATTGTATGGGGAATATAAAAATAAAATTTATAAAAAAAAAAAGGACAAATTTCTTTTTTCCTTTTCTTTTTTTTTAATAAATTTTATTTTTATATTCCCCATACAATTGCAACTCCCTTATTTTGACCCCAATCCCTCCCCTCCCCACCCCCCACCCCCCATAGAGTGTCTCTGGTTCATAGTTGTTTGTTGATTTTGATTTTCACATTCTTATAGTTATTCTATTTCCTGGTCCCTTATTTAAGTTTTCTAGATTCCTGCGATGAGTGAGACCATCCGGTATTTTTCTTTTTCTTTCTGGCTTATTTCGCTGAGCATGATCCCTTCCAGCTCCATCCATGTTGCTGCAAATTGCATGTGTTTATCTTTTTTGAATGCTGAGTAATATTCCATGGTATATATGTACCACAACTTCTTGATCCAGTCATATCAATTCCAAAGAGCACCTGCACCCCTATGTTTATAGCAGCACTATTTACAATAGCTAAGCTTTGGAAACAACCCAAATGCCCAAAAATAGAGGACAAATCTCTTTTTCTTACTCACAAGCTCCTGTGTTGGCTTGGGTGGCCAAGCTGCAGGCTGGTGCCAGTCCGCACCTCCTGTCCCAGACTACAGGAGCAGCGGGGACTTGGGGTGTGCTTTCATCATAGCATCTCACCTCAATGAAAAAGGCCAAACTAAATCAGGGAAGCACAAGAAAGTCTCTGCTCACATCAGGTCCACTAATCCCTGTGCCCTCAGAGCATCACGTGGTGACTTCAGGCCTGGCGGGGCTGGAAAATAGGCTGTGCCTATTCTAGTGGACAGTATGCAAAGACACAGATCAAGTATGAGGAAGAGAGTGGAATTAGGGACAGTGCCCCCATGCACCATACTCTCCTCCCTCCACTGTGTGGGTATCTCACTGTTGTCCCTGGGTTTCCCCTGTCCCCACCAGCAGCTTACCACAACAGGCTTACCCACTAGGCCCCAAAGTCACCTTTGAATTTACAGTTTTGGAGAAGGGGAGGGCCTTGCCTGTATCAGCATTTCTCACTACTCCAGAGGGAACTTTAGGGGCTGTCCCTTGAGTCCCTTTCAAGACATCCGAGGTGCTCAGTTTCTGAGAACAAAGCCACACAAGTCTGTGGAGTCAGACTTTTAGAGGCAGTGAGGACTTCAGAAATGTAGCAGTCTCTAGATTAGAGATGCTCACCCAGTGTAGGGATTCATCAGACAGATCCCTCAGGGGAGCAGAGGAGGGTGCATGTAAGTCCACAGGGCTTCCGGGGGGGCAGGGAACTATCCCCAATCTGGAAGCCATTCAATTCAGAAGACTTCAAGCTCTCCACAGGCTAAACTTGGGACTACTGTGGGCCACATTTGGCCAGTTCTTTTAAATGCACTTATACAGTCTTTTTCGTGGTACACATGTCTCCCCCACCCCATCTTTTGGTCCTTGTGAAGGTTGTCAGTGCCTCATAGGAGATTCTAATCGCTGCACTGTGGCTGAGAGGCACAAAGGCTGTCCAGATCCTTCACCGCACAAATGAAGTAGCTAAGCTCAGTGAGCTCGTGGAGTGTCCAATGTCAAGTAGCCGGCCAGCAGCGGAGTCAGGCTAGGCCCAAGTCACCTGCCCCAAGACCTGTGTTTACCTCCTGCCTCGGAGTGTGCTGACTTAATCATTGATTCCTGATCCTCCTGTTGGTCCCAGGATTCAAAGAGGAGCAGTCAGTGCACCTCAGAAGCCTGTGGGGGAGTGTGGAGCATCCTGCAAACCAACCATAGTGTACGTTTAATGATTGTCATAGGGGTGGAGGCAGAGCCAAAGGGGACGCACAGCGGGACCTCCAAATGCCTTGTCACCCTTGTCATGTATACCATGAGGGTGCCGTGCTCATCAGGGGAGGGGGTCGGGAGGTACTGGGGATGGATGCAATCAGTTGGTGATACCTGACCCTCCAGAATGTGGGGAGTTTGCTTGGATACTCATGTTCATGAAGATGGCTTCTGGAAGGCAGGTTAAGCTGAGGTTAGACAGAAAGGTGCATTCACGTTGTGGGAAGCAGTCCTATTTTGCAAGGGGCACTCACACTGATTCCAGTAACTACCTATGAGGACTTGCTGGGTACAGAAATGGGCTGCTGCTGCCCTAGGTTGGGGGTGTCAGCATTGGAAAGGGAGACTAGTGTTAGTCGTCATGTCAGTGACCCTGTCACAGGCAAGATAGAAGCCAAGCGGATGAACAAGATAGTTTCCGAGAGTCATCATCAGATCCATGAAGAAATAAAACAGGGTGAGGGGATAGTTGGTGAAGGGCTGGTGGGCAGGGAGTGGCGAAGACAGTTTCTCCAAGGCTGCTTTTGGCAATCATGCTCTAGTCCAGTGGAACCAAACCTGGCCAATAAATTTGTCTTCATAGCCGTGTGAGTGGCGGAGCCGCTATTCCTGGACCATATGTCTGTACAGAGGGATTGAGGTTGAAAGGTCAGCTAAAAGCTTTGTGCCTGGCCAACTGGGCTGTGTGCAGAGGCCAAGTTTGGCTTGGGGAGCTATATTAAGCTTGCCAAGCCCTGGTGAAGCACGGCAGCCTTGGACACTAAACGGTGCTGTGGGCTTGGGCTCCCGAACCACACAGCCGTGACACTTTGCCTGGTTAGATGGCACAGGACGAAAGCCCCCCAACGTGAGCCACGGTGAGTGGGACTCTGAGCAGTAGACTGTGCCTATGCAGCCTGCCGTCCTGGGCCAGGACGGAGTGTGAGCGGGACTTGTGCGGGAGACATGCTCCCTCTGTGAGCGTGAGCGTTGAGTGGGCCTGGGTGAGTATGACCTGGGGAGGGGGAGGGAGGGCTTCTGTGCTGTCTTCCTGCATCTGACCTTTTCCTTTTGCTTTTGTTGGATTTTCAGTCTTGAGTGGTAAAGACTGCTGAACTGAGAATTTGGAGACAGACTGTATAACCTTTCATCAACCTCTTTAATAACTTACTTCTATTTCGTTCCTTTTTCACTGTTATGGGGTGACAAATATTTGCCCTGATTACCCTAACTGGATTTCTATGAATATCAAAGGAGACGTGGGTTTGAAAATCATTTCTTAAGGATCTCAGTGCTCTAGGGCAGTAAGGTGGTATTATAAATATTACTACTGCTATTATTACTGTACCTTGGTGATATTTTATGCATCTAGGTGATATTGATTCAGGTGTACTCTGTTGCTGAAAGGTACTAGAGAAATTCATTGCAAAGAGCATTCATTGAACCAGGCACTACAGATTAAAAAAAAAAAAAGTGTAAGACTCAGCCTTGTCCTGGCAAGTATTTAAGTGGAGTGAGCAGTTTCCAAAGACCAAATATCAAAATATGTAATTGGGAAGATATTTATACAACTTACAGACAAAATGACCTCGGCCACATTTTCCTGAGTGTGTGGGTGTGTGTGTGTGTTTGAGTATGTGTATATAATATTATATATTTGTAAATGTGTTGTTTTATTGTTTGGCTGGACTGAAGCAGGCCCCAATGGTCTATGAAACGCTCCTTACTTCCCTTCTGAACCCTGCTGCCTCATCTGAGTTTTGTCCCTGCTGCTTCCTGCTAAGGTAGTGATAGACAACTGCATTATTATCCTTTCAGATGTTTGTATTTTTTTTTTAAGATTTTTTTTCTTTTTTTAAGATTAATTTATTATACAACAACCGGGGTACAGGCCAGAGGTGGGAGGGGTGAGAGGATTCACCAGAGACAGAGCAGGAAACAGAACAGGCAGACTGACTGAGATACACTGCTGAGGGGAGCAGCGGGCGAGACAGGAGAGGTCTGCTGCGCCATGTGGGACCCTCGCTGGCTGGCTGGGATCAAACCCACGCTGCAGAGGCTGCGGAAAGCTTCACAGTGCGGCCCTCAACCGCCTGCACCACCAGGGGAGGCCCACAAATGTTTGTATTTTTATAAAGAATACTTAGATAAGGAAAATTGCTAGTGCTAGGGCTGAGATAGACCTTAACAATCATCTGATTTGATGATTTAAAAAAAAAAACCATAAAGACTTTTCTCCAAATTAAAGTATATTTGGGGGCCTCCCCGATGGTGCAGCAGTTGAGCGCTGGGTTGCGAAGCTGCCCGCAGCCTCTGCAGCACCGGTTCGATCCCCGGCTGTTCCCCAGCCACCAGAGGAGGGTCCCACATGGCATGCAGACCTCTCCTGCCGCCCGCTGCTCCCCTCAGCAGTGTACTTCGGTCCTTCTGCCTGCTCTGCTCCCCGCTCTGGCTCTGGTAAATTCTCTCACCCTCCTGCGCTTCTGCTTGTATAAATGAATGAATGAATGAATGAATGAATGAATAAATAAATAAATAAAAATAAATCTTTAAAAAAAAATAAAGTATATTTGGAAGCCCAGTATATGTGTCAAATAAAAACATCAGGTTGAACGGGGGGCAAGAGATATATAGTCTTCTTGTTTGACCTCTCTGCACATATACTCTGAGTTCAAAACCCCTGGTCTGGTCTATAGATGGGGAAATGGAGCCTCTAAGAGAAGTGACCTGGCCAAGATCACACAGCAAGGAAGGGACAGAGCTAGATTGGACCCAGGACTGCTCTCCCTGGTTGGATGTCCAGGTTTCTTACTCCTCATGGCGAAGGCCCTCACTAGGTTGAAGGAGTGGGAAAGGAATACCTATTTGCAGCCTGACTGACTGGCTACAAATCTGCCTTAGTGGAATAATTTGAGATGAAAACAGCTCAGATATATAGACCCGATCTTCTGTGACAGCTCCAGGGAATCCAGGACGCATTAGGTCCCTGGCCTTGTCTGTAAAGGGAAGTAGATCAGTCAAGTGCTTCTATTCTGTTCTCAGGGAGCAGAGTTACCTGGTAAGGACTGCTCCAAAATGCTTGTGTCAGCGGGGCTGCTTCTAGTGGAACAAGACAGCTGCTGCTGGGGGGCTGGGGGTCAGCGGCTGATGGGCTCATGCTCTGGTGGCTGCCTTCCGTCTCCTCTGAATGTTCTGTGCCCAGAGAAGACAGCACACACCCACCTGTGCCAATCGTTTGCTCCCCTGGCATCAGGCTCACAAGGAGGCATGTTGGAGGGTGCTATAAGTTTAGACCTGGGGGGACTCCTCCAGGGGTTCCTCACCAAGGAGGAGAGGCAGGAAGCTGCTAGGGCAGGGAAGTCTGGGGTGTCCCCCATGCAGGACAGACAATGTGGTGAAGAAGGACTGGTGACCTAGGAGTCTGGGTTCTAGCCCAGCATGTTAGACCTGCGGAGGTGCCGCCTGGGCAGGCACAGTAGCCTTGGCCATCTGTCTCCTAGTCTTCCCTCATGCTGCTTCTTCCTTGACTTCACTGAGGCAGAAGTTCAAGCATCATTATTCTACTCCAAACCTCTCTGGGCTTCTCATTGCTTTCCCAGTTTAATCCACAATCCTTAGCCAGGCAATCAGACCTCGGGTTCTGTCACCCCCACCTCACAGCCTTATCTCCCTTCTACCCACCAGACACCAGCACCTGGGCTTCCCTCTAGGACTTTGCTCTCCAAAGTCCTTTGCCCACTACTGATCTAACTGAATCCTACCCACTTCTGTAGTCTGTCAAGTCCCAGCTCAAGATCTATCTGCTTCTGGAGGTCTCTCCTAATCTCAGTTGCTTGAGATCTTTCCTTCCTAAACTATCCCAAATGACTTTCATCTCACTGATGACCACTGTCTTGAAGATCAAGTCCTTGAGGTGACACCTGCCTCTTCTTCCTTTTGCATCCCTGTAGTAGTTGGGAGTGAGTGAATGAATAAACCACTTGAAGGCTCAATTTCCTCATTTGAGAAACTGGAAGACCTCATAGGGTTGTTGTGAGGATTAAAATAGCTAATTAGCAGAGAGCAAACTGTTCTTACACAATAATGCTAGCAGCACCAATAACAGTAACTACTGTTCTCTGATCGCTGTGCCTGGGGGTAGTAGAGCTGGTCCCGCTGGAGACCAGAGAGGGCAGGGAGGTGGGTGAGGGTCTCCTGATTCCAAAGTGCCTTCTTCCTTATTCTCATAAAGTTTCTTGTCCATCAGAGGATTGGGGAACAGAGCCATGGCCAGTCAGAGGGTTCTTTCTTTGGGGTCATCTAGCCCACATTACTTCCACTTTATAGAGTAGATCTAGATCCTTTAAGCACTCAGGAAAGTCGTTGCTTAGAATTCATACTGACAGAAACCCCCTCACCTAACTGTAAAAAATTAACATGCATCTAAATCCATCATATACCTTGAATGATTTTCTGATATCTCCCATGGAATTATTTCATCCCCTTTGTGGATATGGTCTTACTAATTGCAAGATTCCTAGCTCATAGTTGAGTATTGACTCACAGTAAACACTCTCCATTCTTGTCTGAATTAACTGTATTATACTGGAATGACAATAGTTGCCATTTATGGAACACCTACTTTGTGCTGGGCATGTCACATCATTAGCTCTAATTCTCCCAGGGACTCTGCAAGTAAACTATTGCATTTTATGGACAAGGAACCAGAGGGTCAGAGAAGATAAGTAACTTCTTTGAAGACATGCAGACTTTAAGAGCAAACTGGGGGAGGTCAATCCCAGGTCATGTGACTCCAGGGCTGATCTTTTGACAACACTAGTGATTCTCAACCCTGGATGCTCATTAGTGTCACCTCATAACTTAAAGAAGCAATAAGGCCAGTGGCCCTCACACCTACTGAATTTGGTGTGGAATCTAAGCATCAGTTTTCTTAAAGCTCCCAGGTCAACACCCAGGGTTGAGAACACCAAACACACCAAAATAAAATATGGGAGATGCGTCTTTGATGTCTTCTCTTAGTCTTGTATAAAAAAGTGTGGGGAGGGCCTCTCTGGTGGCACAAGGGGTTAAATCTCAGCACTATGAAGCTGTTGGCAGCCACTGCAACATGAGTTCGATCCCTGGCCAGGGAGCTACCCACATTGCGCAGCAGACCTCTCCTGACTCGCCTGCCGTCCCTCTCAACAGTGTATTTCAGTCAGTCTGCCTGTTCCCCCCACTCTGTCTCTGGTGAATCCTCTTACCCCCTGCACCTCTGGCCTGTACTGCAGTTCTTGTATGCATAAATAAATAAATTTTTAAAAAGAGAGAGAGAGAGACTCTCCCATCACACCTCATATCAATTTTTAAAAATTCCCAGTGACTTTGATTTCAAAGCAAGGAAGGTTGTATCTTTCCTCTTTTTGCATCCCTAACAGCATTTAGCCCAGAGCCTCTGCCCACCTCCTGTGCTTAATAAATATTTGTTCAGTGAATTGAAAAACTAGCAAGTTAGAAGGAACCAAAGAGGCTCTGTTTTGTTTTATGTTTTATTGATCATTCTTTCTGTCTCAAAGGCCTCAAAGAGAGTAGAAATCCTACCCTGGCTTCACTTTGAGTATTATGGTCATTTTGGTGAGGCAATATGATTTGGAATTCAGATACATCATACAGAAGTCAGTGGACCTTCCCTGAAATGCCCAGTTACTCACCAGATGCTGCTACTGAACATTTACACACATGTCGACTTGGCACCCCCTTTGTTGAGTTGAATTATATGTGTCCTTAATTTTGGTGCATGTTTCTTACTCCCCAATGAGATTGTGCTCTTTGGAGAATGAGAGACAGATCTCCCGATTTTATTTCTTCCTTCTCAGTGTCTCGGAAGTTGACCATGGACGCTCAGAGATGCTGTTGATTAGATGACTCTCATATTTATTTAACTTTCTTTCCTTTGATGAATACAGAACAGGTAGCAGTGTCTCTGTCATCCCTGCAGGAGCACTGGGGAGTGTGGAATGGTGAGGAGTGCCTGGCCATGTGCCTGCCCCACATCAGGCATGAGCAAGACAAAGCACAGAGACCCTGGCTGTGTGGATTTTAAAGTTTCACAGGACGATAGTCTAGTCCTTAGAGACAAATTCAAACACCCATCTGGGGCTTTCTAACCAGTTGTCAGTGCTACTGCAATGGTTTGGACATTTGGTTTAGCATCTTTAGTGGGGCTATGGAGATGACCATGACAGGAGCCTTCCCTTCTATTTGACTGTGAGCTCCTTTGGAGCATGCACTTTTACTCATCTCTGCAACCCAGAGCCTGGCACAGAGCACTTGGTAATGTTTGCTGACTGACTAAATGAATGGACTTTCAATTTTTTTTCCTTGGCTTTCTTGGACTCTCAGTCTCTGGCCTGAGGGCTGTAGCCTGTCTTGGAGGACTGCTGTCAATAGTTAATAGAAAATTTAAAAACACACAGCTGACACATCCTCAGTGTGCCATTCTGTATGGATTTCCAGTTCAAATAAAACTCATGAGTAAAATGAATAAAAGCACTGCACTCTGGTGGAGACGTGTTGTGATTTCCAGTTTAGGTTTTGGCTTCTAGAAATGATTTAGTTCCTCTGTGCCACTTTTTTCCCCCTTAAATTCATATCCCATATAGGCAGTTTAGATACTCTGCACTTGAAACCACTTCTCAAAATAGAACTTGCTTTTTCTCAAGGATGTCCTTGTTGCTTTCAGCCTCAGGGACTGTGCTTATCCTGGTTTTGTGTTTTATTGTATATTTTTCTCTTGCAGCTAAATGTGGTCAACAGCGTCAGCATTTCAGAGGACATCAAGCCCTTACCAGGGCTTCCCGGGATTGGAAACATGAACTACCCAACCACTAGCCCTGGGTCTCTGGTTAAACACATCTGTGCCATCTGTGGGGACAGATCCTCAGGTACGAGCAGAAGCAGTGTCCCTGTAAGGTTCCAGAGAAGGTGCTTGCTCTACAGTCCACTTGGCTACTTTGTTCCCTGTGAAAGAAAAAGGGTCCTTTAGGATGTTCTAGCTTAAAGTCTAGGCTGTCAGTTTCTATCACTGTACTCACAGCCTGCCGCCCTGTTGAAGTTAAAGTATGATTTCATTTTTAAGGATTAGATTTATAGGCTACCTATCCAGAAGCCCCTGCCTGGAGTGCTGTGCTATATGTGTTGCTGGAATAGAGAAGCTGTGTGATTAGTAAGTATCTCAAACCAGAGTTGCTTTAATGTTCACAAAATTATTTACAAAATGATGTTCCAGCAGTACTATAAAAGTGCAAAAGAAAGCCTAAAAAGTTATTTATAATTTCCCCAACAAAGATAACCCATTAGTAGTTTACATAATTCTTTCTAGAACATTTTAGGTTTTAAACATACTTCTTTCATGGCTATATATAAATACATTTTTACTCATTTTGACTTCCTCAATCCTTTAAACTTTTACCCAAATTCTTTCTTTCCCTTCTTCCATTATTCCTACCCCCTCCCAACTCCCCACCGTACTGCTTTTGATGACATTTGAACCTTTAATTTAATGATTGAGAAGATGGAGACTTGTTCTTGATGGCTCATTGAATATTTCCTCACCATCTTATTGTCACCAAAGCCAGTATTAAATGTCACTCCACTGAAAGTTTCAGGTGCCTGAAACTTAACTACATGGTTGATGTTTGCTTGCTCTCCAAAAAGTATCTCCAAATCATGCAGACTTGGCTATTGTCATACTAACCGAAAACCAGCCACACCCTGGCAGTTTCCTGTGTTATGGTGTTGTGGAAAGTCTGGGTGGTTCATTCATAGAGCTATGTGTCACTTTACGATGGGGATACGTTCTGAGAAATGTGTCATTAGTGATTTCATCCTCGTCTGAACTTCGGAGTGCAATCACACCTACGCTGTATGGCGTGGTCGAGTGGGAACCCCATGGTATCTGCGCTCCAGTGTTAACCAAAACATAATTGACACATGATGGTATATTAAAGACATACACCATGGGAACAGGGGAATGACAAACTGGTTTCATATTTCTCATTGACAAATATTTTAGAGCTAAGAGCATTGGTTTCTTTGGGCCCGAGATAAAATTGTGTATTCATTATTGCTGTGAGTTCAGTAAATTTATATTAGCAAAATATAAATTGTACTGCATTGTACTGAGTAGGCACAGGCTGACTTTTCATCAGGCAGGCTATCTTTAGCCACCACTTCATGTCAGGGCTGCTTCCTCTGAAATGTAAGCTCCCAGGATGCAGAGCATGTACACTCAGGGACTTCAAATTCACTTTAATATCAGCTGAACTACACCGAATTAGAAACTCATATCAGGATGGTGGCTCAATGCCATCACATGTTACATTTAGGAACCAGACATAAATATGGCTTGAATGATTTATTCCCTTACATTTTTTAAGATGCACAGCTCTAGTCAATTGCACTTAACTGCATAATGTACAGGATTGAGGAGATTTGTACTTAGAAAGGTCTTGGGATTCTTGATGCCTGTGTGGAGGTGGGCATGGTGGCTTTCCTGACAAGAACCAGCCAGACCTGGCTGGAGCCACTGAAAACAGAACATGTTGCAGCAGGTAACTAGGGCCATGAAATAAGTAGCAGGTTATTCTGGATCAAGCTAAACCAACTTCCATCAGATCTTTAAGTCATATCTCCAGATTACATGTCATATTGTGTTATAAAAATCACACACCAATTTATTTCTTTCAGAGGTAACAGTATTTCAAAAATTTATAACTTGGACTCTGTTCATAGTTTATGGGAAAGGATAATACTTTCAAGTAGGGTTCCTAAGACCTTGGGCCTCAATTATGGGGAAGTATTAGTGAGGCTGGGGTTCTTGTCCAGCTAGATAATGCATAATCAGCATAAGTATTTTTATTTATTGTGCATATTAATGCCCTGCATGGAGGCAGAACATTTTAATTAACACAGAGTTGCCTTGATGAAATAAATGGAAACAAAATCTTAGGTCAGGAATTTTCTAATGATGCTGTCTGGAATTGGCCATTCTAGCGACTGGCTTCCAGAGGGAAGACCCAAGGAAAGGCATAATGATTCTGCCTGCAGTTTGTTCCTGTGATTAAGGCTTCATTCTCTACTATTGATTCTTTGCTACCAGCCCCAGTGGCCAGGGGGTGTGATAGTCTTCCCTGGGGGAGAGTCAAGGTGAATGAAAGACCAAATAAACACAAAGAACTGTCTCTGGAATGTTCTTTTTTTGTGACCAGGGAAGCACTATGGTGTGTACAGTTGTGAAGGCTGCAAAGGGTTCTTCAAGAGAACCATCCGGAAGGACCTTGTCTACACGTGTCGGGACAACAAAGACTGTCTCATTGACAAGCGTCAGCGCAACCGCTGCCAGTACTGTCGCTATCAGAAGTGCCTTGTCATGGGCATGAAGCGGGAAGGTGAGGCTCCCCACTCCCCTCCCTCCGCTCAAGGAGAGCAGGTGGCATATACATAAGGCTGGGAGATGAATGCTGAGAGTAGGAAAGAGCCCTACTAGGATGGCATGTGGGAGGGAGACATTTGAAGGAGAGCTGGGATGACTTGGGGCACCATGACTCTCAAGGGTGGCAACTGAACATCTCAGTGCAAAGGGGTGGGGAGCATCTTTCTTCTCCACGTTCACCCATCTTGCCCTAGAACTCAGATAATGGCCCCCAGACTGGAGCTTCTCCTTGGCTCTTCCAATAGCCAGGCAGCAAATGTCAGAGTTGAAGATTCAGGTCCTCATGTGCTGCCCTACAAATGTAATGTGAGACTTACCTGCATGCAGCTGGCTTCTTCCTCCTCTTAATCTAGATTTCACTATGGAGAAAACTGTTGCTTTGACTTCTCTCTCTGGGGCTTTATGACCTTGGTCTGATGGGTGTATTCCTTGGTTTTGGGGGGTTAATGGCATCGCCAGTAATCATAGTTAGCCCTCTCATTCAGCCCAGCACTCTGCATTTTTAAACCCTTAAATCGTTCAGTTAACAGTGTGGATTAGCTTTTGTGTGGGTTGTGATAAAGTAAAAAAAAAAAAAATAACCTGGAAGTGCTTTTTGTTCATTTATAAGACTGAGAAATCTGCTAGGTAATGAGTAAGGAAGTCCTGCTTCCTCCTAGGAAATAAGAATAGTCATTTAGTAAGTCCTAGGTGACTTCATTCTTGAACTTCTTTTCTGTGAAGAGAGAAAGGGCGATGCAGGAAAAGGCTTTGTGCTCCTGCTATGAGAGAACACTTACAAGAAGATAACAATGATATTCTTGGAATCTTAGCAAGTCTGAGATGGAGGCAAACCTCACAGTGGTTGACTCAACCCTCACCATTCTATTGCAGAAGAAACAGACTCAGGGTCAGAAATAGGCTCTTACTTTTGGATGAGAGCTCAGCTTGAGCCTCCTCTCCTGCAGGGGATGCAGGAGCTCTGGGGTGCATGCCGCCTGATATCTAACAGGAGCCTCCACTGGACAGTCCCAAGCCTGGGATCCTGATAATCTCCCCTGCCCTGCAAGTTCATCATATGGCCCTCTCCATTTTAGGAGATTGGCCATTTTTCAGTTGCTCAGACCAAACCCCACCAGATTTCTTTTCTTGCCTTCTACACCATGCTCCAAGGGTGAGAGGCTCTTTTCTTGCCATCAAAATGTGTCCAGAATCTCTCCATGTCTCACTACTTCTATAGCTACCCCTGTTATCCAGGCCTCTGTTAACTTTTGTAATATTCCAAATAGATTCCCAGAAGTCTTCTTGCTTTCATTTTTGTCTTCCTTCAATTTATCCTAACAGAACAACCAAAGTGAGACTTTGAACAAGTGGGTCAGCTCAGACCCTTCCTCTACAATCCTTCAGTGCCTTCCCTCTTACTCAGAAAAAAGGACAAGATCCTGACTGTGACTTCAAGGTTGTACCTGGTCTCACTGTCCCACTGTGTTTCTGCTCCAGGCTTCTTGGTCTTTGTGCTGGGCCACTAGTGGTATTCCCACCTGAGGATTTTGCACTTAATCTTCTGTCTGCTTGGAATACTCTCTCTTGAAGTATCTGCACGGCAAGTGTCATCTCTGCCTTCCGACTTGAATTTGATCATCAATTTCTTGTAAAGCCCTGCTGGACCACACTCTCTAATGTTGTATCTGCCACCCCTACCAATTTCTAATCTCTTCCCCACAGCATTTATGGTATCTCGCATATTTATTTTGTCCTCTGTCTTTCATCTAGAAGGCAGGGTTTTATTTTTTATATCGCCACTTCCATTGCTATTATCAACAGTAACTAGAACAGAGTAGGCATTTAATAAATATTTTTTGAATGAATGGATGGTTTAAGCTGAACATTGAAATCAAAAGCTTTAGCAATGCAGGCGATACTAAAAAATAATTCATTAATTCATTCATCCAGTACTAAATGAGCACCTACTTTATTTTTGCTTAGGTTATATTTGCTGTAGAGGGGTGGATGGTCATATTGATTAGAACCTGTGATGTGAAAAATCGGTTTGTGGAGGTTGTCTTCTCTTCCCCAGGATATAATTGATACTTTTTGTTGCTTCTGCCACCATGACAGTCAAAACATAAAATCATTTACCCCAATGAGTGTCTCTCATCAGCAAGAGCATGACTGCTGCAAGGGTCATTTTTTCCCCTCACGGAATATAAAATAAGTTTCAAGGAAATTTAAGGAAAAATAATTTTCCTTATGCACGTGAGTCTTTAGTCAAAGAGGTAGTCCTTTCTGCTTTTCCCAGTCTCAACACTCAGCCTGAATATTCCCCAACTCAGACAGGGGCAGTGTGATCACAGGTCAAGTGGCCAGAAGTCTGTGCTTTCATTTAAAAACTGAAGAGTAAGAACAGGAGTATGTGGGCTGTCAGAGCCCGGGCTGGCCTTCTCTTCAATTAACATTGTTCTTATTCTGCAATAGAAAAATGAGTCCCGTTCTGAGTTCTGCATTGCTAAACAAAATGTGGAGAAACAGGAGTGATGAAAAGCAGAGTAATAAGCATTAGGAGGAGGAAAAAGAGGAAATTGCTGAAGGAATCAGTACTATTTACCCAGATATGGGAAGGCCAGGAGAGAATCCATTCCTCATCTCATGACATGAAGTGCCACTTTCATAAGACTCCTGAACAGCCTCCCCCTCACCACTATCATTTTGAGCCTCGGTTTGTAGAGTTTGGGGATCAGTTTGAACATCTTCCTGAGGACAAAAGAATAAAAACCTGGAAAAGATAACTGAGACTATGGAATTTACATTGCTAGGGAGTTGAGCAGATGGAAAGATGAAGGTAGGGTGGGCTCAGAATTCACCTGCCTGGAAGCAGGAGCCAGACCCCACTGCCTTTGTAGCACACATAACGCAGAAACCAGAATGGACATTGGCTATTCACTGAGGTAACACGAAAGAAGAAATGGGGGAGCTGAGAAGCTGGGTACCTGCCTAGGCTGATACAGCAAGCCACTGTCTGAACTGGTATGGGACTGGGACTTTCTGACTTCCAGGCCATCAAAAAGTCTTCAAGGATTCTGGGGAAGCCTACTTCCCTGATTTCTGGTCATGCAGTTTGCATGGGTAAGAGTGGATTATTTTGGAAGCCAGTTGTGGGCCACACTGGACACCTCTCTGGGCTTATGCCTTGGTGCAGCAGAGGGGTTAGCTCTGGGCAGGGTGGGGAGGGGTCATCAGCTTGGGTCTACAAGATGGTTCTACTGTTTCCTAGCTCTGTGACCTTAGGCAGGTTACCTAACCTCTCTGTGGTTCATAGTACTCCACATGGTTATTGTGAGCATTCAATGAGGCATAATTTATAGTGTTGATCTGAATGTTTCCTGAGGAACTAGAGGAGCTCCATAAATTTCGGCTGGTGTAGTACATGTACAATGAATATATGTTGGATTGACAGATAACCCAACTCCTTGTAAAGTGGAGGTTTGATACTGTTTGGGGTCACCGCTGTCCCCTCTTGAGTGTGGTAGCGGCAGCTCGGAATATACCACATGGAAGACATCATCCAGCACACAGAGATGACTGCTCATTTATAGCTGTAAGATTTATGGCACAAAGAGAAGAGGTGGATAGCAAAGGCTCACTCAATAAATGCTAACACTGGACACAGACTCGAATTCCTTGCAGCCAAGGTCGTTTCTGTGAAGCCTGAAGGTTACTTTTCATGAGTGTTACAAATCTGGAGAAGAAATCAATTGAGGACCACAAAAGGAACTTAACTTAATTTGCTTTCCCCCATCTTTTAAAATCAAGACAAATAGAAGCCCATTAACCTACCTTTCAAAAAATTACTACAAAAAGCAATCAATGCTAGCCAGTAAATCCAACTGATAATAAAAACACATATGATGTCTCTGTATGTTGTCAGTGAATAAGATTGACAGCGTGGGCAGAAGTCAATTGGGGTGAAGGAGGAAGAGAAAAATGTAGAGGGGAGAAGGAGGCAGGAAGGGCGTGTAGAGGAGGACCAGAGAGAGACTCAAAGGGTAGGAGAAAGAGTGGTTTGTTAATTTACAATAATTATTTCACTTAGTACTCACAAAGCAACCCCAGGTAAGTATCACAATCCCCACTTTACATACAGGGAAACTAAGGCTGAGTAGACTAAGTCCCATCTCCAGTGTCATTTAAGTAGGAAGTGCCAGAGCCCATTTTGAGAAAGGCCTGTTTGATTCAAGGTATATGCCTTTTTGCTCTAGTCTATCCTGTTTTTCCCTCTCTGTTCTCTGACTCTTCTGTTTCTTCTTTTTCTCACCTCTCTGCCTTATTTTCTCTTCCCTGTCTTCCTATCCTCAATCTCTCTCCTCACTCTCTCCTGACCACTGAATGTCATTCTCATCTTGATTCTTGGCTTGTTGGTGTATCTCTACCAGAGACCTTGGGGTATAAGTCATATTTCTACAGCCACTCCCTTCTCTGACTTGCTTTGAGGGCTCAATGCTATTACTTGCATATTCACGCCCCAGTTCTAGTTCATTCCAGTCTTATGTCTATGGGGAGGAAGAAAGAGAAGCTCCTCTCCATGGAAAGGAAGAAAGAGAAGCTGACAAGCAGAAGTTGCTAGGGGAGTAGCCACCTGCTCAGAGTATAATTTTCTTGGCTCTTGGGATTTTAAAACAATGTGTGCTAATATTGAATTCTGCTTGTTGCTAGTGAGAATAATATGGGAACCGTAGCTTTCTGTGTGATGGATGCTCACCCAATAGAGACTGTTCTCTTGATGAGGGAACAGGATTGGGGATGGGGTCTCTGCCTGACATCCCAATGCACAGACCCAGAGGAATCTGAGAGTTGGAAGGGACTCTGATGCAAAATTTTGCTCCTTTGGGAGGATGAGACAATTTCAGCCTATACTTATGCCAATATACCTTCCCCACCCCCTAAAATCAAGCCTCTGAATCTGAAATGTCATCAGGGCCCACTCCTCCACCTCTTCACTTACTAAATGCCCACTTGGCTCCCTGAAGATCATCTCTGAAAGCTGGATCCAGCAATTCTGTGTTCAGGCTGGTGTACTAGGGGCAGACCTAATGGGACGTGAATGCCAAGGATGATGCATAGGATCTGACAGAGGGAGCTTAAAGCAATGTTCTTGTTCCTTAACTACTGCATGCCCATAGATTATTAGACATGGCAGGTGGAGGAAGGATATAGAAGAAGAATAGCAAGGTGAGTGGCTCATTAAAACAGAGGGTAGGACTGGAGGTCATTAAGGCTTAAAATGCACATGTCCTAGAGTGCTCATCATGATGAACTGGAAAGGACGTGAACAAGGAACCCATAGCTCTACATGGGCATAAGCAAATAGTTTTCTGCCTTTGTTTGATCTGTCAACATTACAACAGCCCTGATTCAGTACATGATAATGTCCACTTCACAGATGAAGAAATTGAGGTGCAGGAAGGTAACTAACTTCCCCACAGTTGGCCTGGGCATTATGGTAACCCGTTCATGTACTTCTGCCTGCCAGCTGTGCAAGAAGAAAGGCAGAGGAGCCGGGAGCGGGCCGAGAGTGAGGCAGAATGTGCCAGTAGCAGCCATGAGGATATGCCTGTGGAGAGGATTCTAGAAGCTGAACTTGCTGTTGAACCAAAGACAGAGTCCTATGGTGACATGAACATGGAGAACTCGGTATGTGGTGTGGGTCGGCCATCCACCTCCCAGACAGGACTCGAGATGAGAAGGGTGCATTGGAGTCCCAGAATCTGTGCCTCAATGTACTTCTGTTCCTTTCTCAGACAAATGACCCTGTCACCAACATATGCCATGCTGCGGACAAGCAGCTTTTCACTCTTGTGGAGTGGGCCAAGCGTATCCCCCACTTCTCAGATCTCACCTTGGAGGACCAGGTCATTCTGCTTCGGGCAGGTAAAGGTTTGCAGGGCTCCTGTCTTCTTGGTATAATCACTTGGGCTGCCATCTTGAAACTGACTTGGGATCCCCAAACAAGTGACCTGATGGGGCTGTCACCCACCTAAGCAGAAGACAGAATAACCCTATACAGGGCTCTGCTCTTTTTTATATTATTTTTGAGTTCTTTGATTTGGATGGCCCTTCCCCAAAACTTGTATTCCCAAATGAAATGTTGTTTATTAATGGAGGGATGACATTATTTTCCATGCCAATTTCACTATGGCTTTAGTATTTGGTATAATTTTCCAAGAGAATCAAGTCATCGTGACTGAGGTTAATCTGAAGTAGTGTCTCATTATTTTCATGAAGTTGGAAAATAGATACCTTCCCATTTCACATGGGAAGAGACTTTTATTCAAGCTTGAGCTAGATAGATTCCAAGGTGCCTTCCTATTTTAAGAATCTATGTGTTGCGTTCAGTTCTCGAACGCTGTGCTGTTGACATAAACCATTTCTCTTTTTTGTCACTGGGCCAGTAGAAAGATTGGCTGAGCACTGTGGGCCAGTCCTCTCATTCCACCCCTGTTAGATAATGAGCCATCACTGAGTGTCAACCAAAAGCTACATTCTGTGCTGGGACTACTAGAAAATGCTCAAGAGATAAAACTAGGCTGTCGGGTCCTAGGAGCAGACACTGCGTGGCATAATCACATTATCCGCCATGGCAGCTAACATAGTGACTTGCACCCATTATCAATTCAATCCATGTTTGTTGATTGCTTGATGGGGGTCGGGGTAGGATGGGTCGGGGGCAAAGTCCGTATCCTCAAGCAGCCCTGGAGACTGGGTGTGTGTGCAAGGCCACAAGTCAGGAGACCTCAGTCTTACCCTTTGTTTTCTTATTAATTAACTGTGTGGTCTTAACCAGCTTTAACCTCCCAGGATTTCCGATTCTGCTTTTATTATGTGGGGATAGTGATAGAAACACTGGACGATTGTCAATGAAGCAAGAACGTGGTGAGTTTTCCCTCAGGGCCCCCTCCTTCTCTCTGCAGGGTGGAATGAGTTGTTGATTGCCTCCTTCTCCCACCGCTCAGTCTCTGTGCAGGACGGCATCCTCCTGGCCACGGGTTTACACGTGCACCGGAGCAGTGCCCACAGTGCTGGGGTTGGCTCCATCTTTGACAGGTGGCTCTCTTCCACTCTGTGCTTGCGCGTGCATGTGTGTGTGTGTGTGTGTGATTGTGTGAGACATACATGTTCACGTACGCCTGTGCCTATGGGCACTGGGGTGTGTATTCTGGGATGTAGGAGGGACAGCTCAGACAGCTGCGTGCGGCTAGAAGCAGAGACTAGTAAGCACATGAGGACGTAACATGGGGATTAAAAGAAAGGATTTGCTGTCACAAAATGGAGCCAAAGGCCAGCATGGGGCCGGGCAGCTGGGAAAGCTGTTATCCCTGTAGAAGTCCAAAGAGGAGCCTAGTCAGAAACATGGCCTACTAAGTTGGGCTTGGGGAGCGTGAACTGCTTTCCCGGGGGCAGGGATGGGAAGAGGCTCCAGGGTCTAACTGCAGGAGGCGGGAAAGGTGGCCTGAGGTGTTTGCTGGACCCTGCACCAGGAACTCTGGGTAGGGTCTGTGGCAAAGCAGACCCACCTGATTAGGAAACCAGAAGCTCAGTCTGGGATTCTGTGCCTTAGAGGAGGCTAGAGGAAGATAAAGCCCTGTGATGTAAAGAGATGAATGTAACGAGCAGGGAGTAATGACTTGGGATGGACCATGGAGAAGTGAGAAGAAGTCAAGGTTGAAAATAGCCCCTCAGGCCCCATAGTCCCTTTCTACCTCCATCATAAATGTGCATGTCCACCCACGATGCCTCTGTTTTCGTCCCTGGCCTTTCCCACAACATGTTTCACACAGAGACCAACATGGTCTTTGGTTGGTTCAGCACCTATCATGGGGCCTGGCGATGTCTACCTTGCCACTGAGCATCACCCTGTGCTGTGTTCTTCCAGACTTGGGATGCCCTCTCCCTGCTGTGCCTGTTGCATTTCTACTAGTTTTCCAATCCTCGAGGCTGCCTTTCCCCACCCTCACGTTCACAGCTTCCTCCTCTGTGTTCCCTTGGCTTTTGCTCAGTTATTTATTGACTGTATTGCTGCATGTTGTTTCCATGTCTGTTTCTTCAATTAAACGTGAGCCACTTGAGATCAGGGATTGCCTCTTCTTCACCTCTGAGCACCTTGTACTAGGCTCATCATCTGGGAGAGGGGGTGAATCCATAATAAATATTGGTCACATTCATTTTATCAGCTCTTGACCTGGTGCTCACAGTTTGCTCATCACCTGCCATTGTTTCCCATGAACAGAGTTCTGACTGAGCTCGTCTCCAAAATGAAAGACATGCAGATGGATAAATCGGAGCTGGGGTGCCTGCGCGCCATTGTGCTGTTCAACCCAGGTGACTTGTCCCTCCTCTGTGGTCGACCTTGGAGACTCTGACATTCTTTGGTTCCCCAGCTCAGCTGAGATGCAGAAGGCAGTGCCTGGGGGCAGCAGACCTTCAACTCTGCATGGTCTCTACTCTTGGTGCCATCTTGCAAAAGTCTTGAATGGCGGGGAGTGTGTGTGTTGGGGATCCAACAAGTGACTGTGGTCTAGGGTAGCAGTGAAGGAATGGGTAGAAAGTGGTGAGATTATGGATATTATTTTGGGAGTAAATTCAATGGGATGGGTAGGTGGGTATGGAAGAAAGGGATGTAAAATAGAACTCTCAGAGTCTTTTGGTTTTGTTTTCCGGAAAATTGGAAATGGAGTTTTCATTGACTCAGATATGGGTTGTTAGGTAGGGTGGATAGGAATCAGGACTTGGTCTTTGGCCATTACAATCTGGATGGTCAATGTCCAAGGGTCGCTGTCCAGGAAGCAATCGTTTCTGAGTCTGGCATTGAGAGCAAAGCCAGGGTGGAGATGTGCATCAAAGCCCGTCCGCCTAGCCCCACCCAGTAGGGAAGACTCTGGCACAGATGAGCTTATCCAGGGAGAGAGTGAAGGTGGAGCAGGGAAGAGGGCTGAGAGCACACTGACTTGAGAGATGGAAGAGAAAAGGAAAAAGGCAGCAAAGGAGTTTGAGGAGAGAACCGGAGGAGTGGTGTCCTGGAGGCCAAGTGGAAGAGTATTTCCAGAAGGAGGCAGAGATGAGCTTTGTCAAATGGTGCGTCAAGGGAGATGAGTATTCCGAGGTACAGAGTAACTTGTACACAGCTTCATCTCCAGAAGGAGGCAGTTAGCTCATCGATGCAGGACATGGGTTTGGTTCTTTTCTTGTGCCCCATCTCACCTCTCAGTCCTTGCTTCACATGTACTAGGCACTCAATAGAGGTATGAAGACACAATTTCGAGAATTGCTTGGATATAAGCTCTCAGCAGTGAGTGCCTCTGACCCGAGAGTTTATTGGGAGTCCAGGCACAGAGAGAAGACCTGAGGACACAAAGAACTGTCATTGTTTATGTCACCACTGTTCCCCACCCAGCCTGTCTGTAGTGGTGCTGGGGGGAGGGGCTAGAGTGAACGGGCACAGCTTCTGTGGAAGGTGTCCACCTCATGTGTATCAAGAAGTTAAACCAGTCATCTCTTGCAGATGCCAAGGGTCTGTCCAACCCCTCTGAGGTGGAGACTCTACGTGAGAAGGTTTATGCCACCCTGGAGGCCTACACCAAGCAGAAGTATCCAGAACAACCAGGCAGGTGAGGGAGTGCTGGAGAATTGTACTAATAACAACAAATATTCTTACTAGCAGTTAATGAATGGCCATGTGCAGGAGACATGGTCTGGATATTTTCAAATATTATTTCATCTTCATAATAAGCTGAAGGTTGCTATGGTATAGCCTCCACGAAATTGGAGAGCTGTCTTGCTCACTCTTTACCATCAGCGCCTAAAGCAATGCCTGACACATATATCCATCTTTACATGTTGGATGAACAAGCAGATGATTGCATGGCTGTGGCATCATTAGCTGCAGCTTCTAACAAGGCGCCAAGGCTAAGGAAAGTTAAGTAACTCACCTGACACCACAGAGCTTGTACAGGGTGCACCTGGGATGTGAACCCAGGTCCAGCTCATTTCACAGAACTAGTGCTTTTCAGTGTGGCTCCCAGTAGAAGCCGCCTGCAGAGGCTTTGCTGTTTTATAGGAGGTGATGAATGAATGAAGGTAGGCAGCGTCAGCCCTTGGGTGATGGGCAGGCCGAGTGTGCTAGGGGGATGCACTGTGTTCTCATCCCTCACAGGCTCTGCCAGCCAAGAGTGGTGGCTACTGGTCCCCGAATCTGGGTCTGGGTTCCTCATCTGAAAAGGAGGACATTGATCAGAAGAGCTCTGGGTAGAGGTAATCTCCAGGTGTTAACAAAAAAAAAAAAGACTTCCCAAAGCACAGTCAAGTGAAAACTTCCTCTTCTGCTAATTAATTAAAAAGAGACCATGATTCTTAAATATCACAGAAAAATCCAAAAATGAAACCTGAGTAAACTACTTTGAAGATACTAGTTTTGTTTTTATGTTAACTTCATATGGTCCCAAGTCTTACAAATGACTCTTAATCCTTTGTAAAGTCTAATTTCCATCCAGCTGTTTTTCCTGGATCATAAGCCAGCATCTATCAAATGTCCAGATGAGACAGAGCTTTGCTGTTTCATAGGAGGTGAGGAATAAATGCAGGTGGGCCGCGTCAGCCCTTGGGTGACGGGCAGGCCGAGCGCGCTAGGGAGATGCACTGTGCTCGCACCCCTCACGCTGGCCAGCCTTGGAACACAACCTAAGTCTATTTCTTGCTGACAAATCAGTTCTGGGCAGGCAGTCAGGCTAGAGAGTTGACTCCTCCACGCCCTCACTCGGGGGCCTAGGCTCCCTCTTCCTTGGGGCTCGCCATGTCCCAGGGCTTCACTGTTCTGCATCCAGATGAATTGTCAGCTGAGGTGAGCCTTGTGGGCCGGGTAGAGGTGTTTGCAGGTGATGCCAAGAAGGAAAGGGACAGCGGACTTGGCCGACACCTGGCAGTACCTTCCACATCTGCAGCAACCACTCAGTTCATGGCTCATGGGAGCGCTGGAAAAATGCTAACTGCAAGCCCTGTGTTGGATGATTTCTATTGAATCTTCCAGCTCTTAGGCAACATTAAACTTGGTTTTTGAGGACATGCAGTGTGCAAGGCATTAGAGTTACAAGGCGTAGACTCACTCTTTTCCTGTAATTGGTTCTAGGCGCTGCTGTTTAGTTCTTTAATAACAGGAAAAAACCCCTATATTTTGGTGGGAGGAAGGAAAATATTAAAAAAATAAAATAGGTAATAGAAATTGGTGGTAGATTTTGGGGGCCCTTTTCTCTCTAGTACCCTCGTGTACCTATGCACATATGCAGACTGTGTACAGTTGGCTCTTGAACAACTTGAGCTTGAACAGCTGACCTTCATGCAGGCTTTTTCAGTAAATGCAGCTGGCTCTCTGTATCGGTGGGTTCCAGTCCTGACCCAACCAGCCCGCCACGTGGATGACAGCCCCGCGGATGGTTGCAGAGGGCAGATTGTAAGGGACCGGAGGGTTTTGGTGTTTGTGGAAATCCTGAAACCAGTTCCCCAAGGATTTCAAGGGATAAGTGTAATCAACATTTTGGGGAGTCAAAGCTATACTCAGATTTCTGACTGTGTGGGAGTCAGCACCCCTAAACCCTGCCTTGTTCAGGGCCTCCCCGGTGGCGCAGCAGTTGAGTGCTGGGTTGTGAAGCTGTCTGCAGCCTCTGCAGAGCTGGTTTGATCCCTGGCCACTGGGCAAGGGTCCCACATGGTGCACAGACCTCTCCTGCTGCCTGCTGCTCCCCTCAGCAGTGTATTTTGTCAGTCTGCCTGTTCTGCTCTCTGCTCTGGCTCTGGTGAATTCTCTCACCCTCCCGCGCTTCTGACTGTACCCAGTGCTTGTATAAATAAATAAATAAATCTTTAAAACAAACAAACAAAAAAAACCCCTGCCTTGTTCAAAGGTCAACTGTATTAACAGATATGAAATCATAAGTTTGAGGTATTATTTTCTTCCCTTAGCCATTCTAGGCATTTTATCAGATTATTGAAAAGTATCAAATGGTTGTTTTCAATGGTTTTGTGATATCTCATGGAGTAGATGGACTCATTTGTTTAGTCACTGCCTGGTGGTTGACATTAGGTTAATTCTAATGAATATCGCTACACACTGTGGAACCCGACTTTTCCTGGGAAGGGGGTGACAGGGCCTGGGCTGCTCCAGGCACTAGGGAGATGTCAATGCTGTTGCCTGGATGAGGACAAAACCTGAGAGCCCAGGGATAGGGTGCTGGAGTTGGCCCCCTGCATGTTCCCTGCCTACGTTCAGCATAGCCTGGACAGAGGTGAGGCGCCTGCGGCTGAGCAGACACATAAAGGATGTCACTTGGCTCAATCAAGTAGGTAAGTATGCTGTAGGCCGTCACCTCTGGTTTGCTGAAACTGCTAGAAGGGGATCCTGGAAACACCAGGTTAAGGTAGTTTTCTCAGTGGTGGAGTGCTGCCCCCCCATGGACTCTTTTTAGAAGTGCAAATCACAGGGGACGAAGGAGTTGGGCAGTCTAGTCTGAACGCTGAGATGAAACTCTGGAGGGGCAGGGCTTGCCACACAAGCTCTTTCCTTTCCTGTCCCCCACCCCCCGCTGCCCCCTTAACGTTGGCTCTCCCTCCACACACACACCTTCGAAGGTTGTGACTCTCCCTTGCTGCTAAACACGGGAGTCAGGGCTGCGGGGCCGTCCCAGACTCTCTGAGGGCCTGTCTGTCTACATTGCTCCCTGGGTTCCTGGGTCCAGCAGGGACACTCAACATTTCACATATTGTAAAACTTTGGCATGTTTGATGTCAAAAGCTGTGTTTTCAGAGTTCCTCTGGTCTCACTTTGTCCTCCACAGAGGAGCTGTTTCCTCTCCCTAATCCCCTCAACCCTTTCATGGCGGGGCTGCTGGGAGACCTCTGCCTGTGCTTTCCTCCTAGTGCCCTCCCGACGCACCCAGGGGCGGACAGTCACAGTCGTTGGAATGTTTCTGATGGCGTTGGTGTTGACTTCCATCTTTCTCTGCAGGGAAGTCATTCCTACCTTTTTAGGTGGCACCCCTTTATTTTTCCTCGAAGCCACATTTCCTTAAAACTTCATTAGCATGAATATAGAAACACACTCACCTCCCAGGAGTACTGTGATTCCAGTTTGAACCTTCTCGTAAAATAATGTGCTGCTCAGTGCTGGCCCAACCCAACTAGGAGGTGTCTGTGGAGTTTCCATTAATAACTTTAACAGCAAGGGCCTCCCTGGTGGTGCAGCGGTTGAGCGCTGGGCGGAGAAGCTGCACACAGCCTCTGCAGTGCTGGTTTGATCCCCGGCTGCCGGCGAGGGTCCCACATGGCGCGCAGACCTCTCCTGTTGCGCCTGCTGCTCCCCTCAGCAGTGTTTTCGGTCAGTCTGCCTGTTCTGCTCCCTGTTCTGGCTCTGGTGAATTCTCTCACCCTCCCACGCTTCTGACTGTACCTAGTGCTTGTATAAATAAATAAATAAATCTTAAAAAAATAACTTTAACAGCAAGATGTCAAAGGATTTTGAGCGATGAAGAAGGGCCACAGAGCAGGCTGAAAAGTGTCACAAGTGGAGGGGTCTGAAAAAGACGTGCAAATGTGAGACAAAGTCACTCACTGGCCTCTCTCGCTGGTTGGCCCTCACAGCCAAGGTCCTTGATTACAGGACAGTGTGTGTGAGTGTGAGTGTGGCAAGCTGAGGTCACACAGGGTAGAGTGACTGTAATGTGTAGGATGAGAACTTTGGGGAGAGGGGCTGCCTCCAACCCCAAACCTCTGCCTGCCCCCAACCTCACATATCTGTCTTGTACCTTGGCCTCCATCATGTCTATCTCCTGGCGGTGCTCCCAGGAGTCAGCACATGCATGCCCTACCCATCCCCCCCGCCCTGACTCTGCGCTGAGTCTTTCGACAAATCTTCACAGTGCAGACAAGGGTTCAGAGAATGGGGACACCAGCTAGCTGGGGTTACAGACAGAAGTCTCCAGGGGCACCTGGCTCTTCTCCACCTTGAATGAGGGCTGAGGACAATGCTGGGACATGCACACAGGATTCAAAGGATGCTCCAGGGCCACCTGGTCCACCTCCTCCCTTTGAGAGGTTAATTCATTCTCTGGCCTATTCCTGAAGCTCTCTAGGGGCAGGGTCTGTCTTAGCCGCCCCTTTAGCTCTCTCTTCCATCACAGAAGAGCAGAGAAACCTCCTGTCCAGACTGCTGGATGGACTCTTCCAGTTCCTAACACCCCCTGTTCCTTGCAGGTTTGCCAAACTGCTGCTGCGCCTCCCTGCCCTGCGCTCCATTGGCCTGAAATGCCTGGAGCACCTCTTCTTCTTCAAGCTGATTGGGGACACGCCCATTGACACCTTCCTCATGGAGATGTTGGAGACCCCCCTGCAGATTACCTGAGCCCCAGCAGCCGCAGCACCCCAGCTGGGAGCACCCCGGGCAGGTGTGTGTGGACCCCGCCCTGCACACGACCCTCCACTTCCCACCCCGACCCCCTTCCTCTTCCCAAAATGTGATGCTTCTAATAAAGAAACTTTCTACACATGTGACTTTTATAGGTGGAGTTTTGTATAAATGTGGAAGGTAACCTTTGTTTGCTAGCTAAGGGGTTGGGAAATCGTTCTGGAAGTCCTCGGGAAAACTAGCCAAGCCTCTGTACATATTTGGTTTAAATTATTTTTTCACTTGCCATGGAAAGTAAACGGACGAACAATAAAATAATATATATGATATTGGCACTGCTTGGAGCACGAGGTGTGTTATTGTGCCCAGGGAAATGATCTCAGATGTGGGAGGAATGGTGCTGGGGTAGAGCTGGGGAAGGGGACGCACATCCTGAACAAGAAACCCCACAGCTGAGCACAGGCCCCTTTGCTCAGGAGCAGGCGGGCCCTGGAGAGGTAGGGAAAAAACAATGTCTTTCACTGTCAGTTTGGAGGTTTTTTCTTCCTATGAATAATGAGCAGAAAGAAACTTATGCTGCTTGGGGGAAATTGGGTATAAGACCAAGAGAAGAGACCCTTGGGTCCTGGGAGTTAGTGAGAGAGAGTCCCAGCAGGGATGGACTTTCTGTCATTAACCAGTGACATTAACAAAGGACTAGAGCGCACCAAGTGTATTTCCATTCTTAATCATTTTCTAATTCTACACAGTCTGTTCTTTTTTTTTTTTTTTAAGATTTATTTATTTATTTACACAAGAGCTGGGGTATAGGCCAGAGGTGTGGGAGGTGAGAGGATTCAGCAGAGACAGAGTGGGGAGCAGAACAGGCAGACTGACCGAAACACACTGCTGAGGGGAGCAGCGGGCAAGACAGGAGAGGTCTGCTGTGCCATGTAGATTCTTGCTGGCTGGCCAGGATCGAACTGGCGCTGCAGAGGCTGCGGACAGCTTCACAGTGAGGCGCTCAACCGCCTGCATCACCAGGGAGGCCCCACAGCCTGTTCTTAAAAGGGAAAGAGAGAAGACCTCTCCAGCTTTTAATATCCTGGTAGACTTGGAGTCCTACTGTTTGGACAGGGTGGTAGGCTGTTTTTAACTGACTCCGCAGCCTATCCAGCCCATTATCTTTGAGTCATCTTCCTGCTGTCTGCAGGAACAGGGCTTTAGCAAACACAAATCTATGCTTTACCAGTGTCCCCTAAGGTGCAAGGGTGTGCAACCTGAACAACTGCACATGGCAGTCCTGAACTTCTCCAAGCCTGACCTGGGGCCTGCACAGTAAGCGTATAGTCAATGCGTGTTGTGGATGTGGAAGCCACACAACTGGGAAGAATGTTGTAACAGGTATTGTAGATGGCAATTGTCTTGTTTCTCATCAACAAACTCTTCTCAGCAAACTACAGGGATAACTCTCCAGTTCAATACATCCATGAGTGACCATACAGTTCTGGAGAAACTATAATTCTTCACTACTGGGAACAATTTAGGGATCCCTTAGCCTTACATATTAAGCAATGAAGTGAAAATCTTAATTATGCTGTTTTTTTCCTTTTTAAAATTTACATTTCTTGTGATTCATAATAAAATGCTTGTAGGAGGAGGAAACTAAAATTTAATCATGGGCTCCTGGGCCTCTGCCAGCACAACTCACGGGATCGATTCAGTTCCTCACAGATACCATGGGTCCTCAGGGGGATCCCCTTCCCCCCAACTTGGTGGTGACCCAAGTTCTGTTCTGACCTTTGACCCCTCCCTCACTGAACTCTAGCTCTTACCTCCAGCTTATTTCACCTCCTACTTAATAGATTTGGCTCTGAAATTGGTTTTTAACTGTTTCAAAAAATCAAATCTACCTTCTGTAAATGACAATTTGCCACCACTGATGTAATTCAGAGGACACAGGCTCTGGAAGGATTTCCCTCCAAGTGAACTTAAGACTTCAGGCAATAAACCAACAATGCCTTCCCCCTAGGAGGCCCATCAGGGCCCGGATGTGGGATTGATTTAGGGCTTTATCGGGGAGGAGGGAGTGGGTGGGAAATCACACCCCATCCCTGCACCCCTGCACCCTTGTAGGCCAGGCAGGTGAGGGATCTGGCAAGGCAGCCTCGGGTACTTCTGGAGAAGAGGCTGGGAGACCAAACTCCTTCCTAGCCAGGGAGAAGCAGTTTTCACCTTCTCGATGGAAATCTCCACAGATGTGTCTCTTGTGACAATGTTGGCGCAGAAAGCCAGCTCTGACCACGCTGAATGGGCCAGGCCCAGGCTGAGGCCTTCGGGGGCGGCTCCTCCAGGTCCTGCAGCTGCGGGAACACTGGGACCGCCCGCTCCGAGGACACTTGGTGCCAAGACTGTTAGGCATGGGCGCCCTCTGCTGCCGGCTCGCGACATCGCGCTCACTTCCCAGGCGAGCGGCTTCCAGGAGGCCTGCGAGGAATAATTGTATGTACTGCAAAATGAACACTGCAATAAATCTTCCAAATATTTTTTCTTATGTTGAAAATTTTTAAGATTTACTCTCTGAACAACTGTCGATTGTTAACTGTAGTCCCCCATGCTATCCATGACATCCCCAGGACTTTTTTTTATCTTACAACTGGAATTGTTTCCTTTTTGACACCAAGTTTCCTTCTACCTCACTGAATCAATCATCTTTTAGAAATTGTTTGACATTCTATTCTATGACCTTAAATGGAAGCAGGGGGGTACTGGGCCTTTGGGGCTCCTCATGCCACCTCTGGGGTCCGCTCTCCTCTCTGTTGGGCCAGAGATGACTGCCAGGAGCTCCACGGGGCATCCTTGCCGCCCAGTGACCAAGACACTCTTCTCTGCCCTCATTCCAGCAGAGGCCCCTGAGTGGGTGCTCACAGTTGGGGTGTTTGGAATGGTCCGGGGTACACCATGGGTGCGGTGGGATTCCTCTTGCAGGGCTGAGAGTGTGAAGAGGGAGGGCACGTTCTAAAATTAAAGCAGTCACTAGAAGAGGGGGTTGTGGGGAGATACAAAGGCAAGTGCAACTTGCAGTTGCAGGCGTATTGCTATTTCTTTTCTTTTTTTTTTTTTTAAACAACAGAAATTTATTCTCTCATAGTTCTGGAGGCCAGAAATCCACAACCAAAGTATTGGCAAAGTCGTGCTTCCTCTGAAGGCTCCAGAAGAGGATACGTCCTTTCTTTTCCACCTCTGGTAGTTCCCAGTATTCCTTGGCTTATGGTAGCGTAACTCTAAATTGCTGCCTCTGTCCTCACTTGGCCTTCTTCCCTGTTTCTCTGCATTCTCCTTTCTGTCTCTTTTAAGGACATGTCTCAGGACCTACTGTAACCCAGGATGATCCCTTTAGCTTACTTTAAAGAGCTCTTTAACTTAATTATGTCTGTAATGATAATACCACATTCTGATGTTCTGGATGGGCATACCTTTTGTGGGGTGGTAGGAAATTCATTTTATTTTATTTTTATTTATTTATTTTTTACATCATTGTTCATTTTTAAACAATATTTGCTCCCCCACCCTGCCCACCACTGACCAGGCAATCTGGCTACACCACCACTTCTTTCCCTTAGTGCAGGTCCGTGAGGCAGTGCCACAGTGAATCCCACTTGAATTAGGAGGATAGCAAAGCTCAGGGAAGATATAGAAGAAATTCAAGGTCACCTAGCCAGTGAGGGGCAGAGCCCAAACTCAGACTAACATAAATCACATACCTCTCACCACTATACTCTGAGCAAATAAGACAGCTAAGCCCAGGGACAGAGGGCAGCCAGAGCTCTGAAGGCAATAAAGCACCGGGCCCCTCTCTTTACCTCTGCCAAAATGCAGAACAGAAAGACAAATCCATACTTACACTGTCTATGATTTCTTTCTTGAAATTTTGCATTTCCGCTCTGTTCCCAGACACTTCCTCTATGGGAAAAGCTGACCACCCACTGGGAAGGGCTGATGCTCTAAGGGGAGGGTCGGCTGTTTGGGGTTGTCTACAGTCTGAGATACGCTTTATTTGTTTTCCAGTTGAAGAAGGATATTTTCTCCCAAGTTGCCTGATTCCAAACTGGTTAAGCCACTTCTGTGCAGACTTTCCAAGCAATTTCATCCCTGGGGTAGAAACAGAGCATGGAATGATTTGGAGCAAAAGGACAATTTTTGGACAATTATGAGTGAGTGAAAACAGGAGGTTATAATGGATGGTGTCTTTCAACCCTTCACTCCGGCATTTTGTAACCAAGAGTTCTGTCTCCCAGGTTTGGGTGGTGGGAACGTGATGCTGAGCAGTTGTATGGAGCTGCTTCTAGATGTTCAATAATTGGAAACAGCAATGGCATCAGCCGGGATGCACATAAGGAAAAAAGGAGGAATATGCTGGAAATGTGTAAACAAAAACTGAACAAAAGCTCAACAAATATTTCAGATATATTTTAAAAGTGAGTCGCTTTTTGCCTTTCACAATTGCCTTGTCAAATGCCTAATTTAAATAAGTCCTATATGAGGAATGAGCTGGAAGGAAAGCTGAAAATTTTTCAGTAATGACGAGGAGGCAAAATCTGTGATTTGGGGGCATGTGGTCAATGGAAAGAGACAGTGTGGTTTGGTAGTAAATCAGGTGACACAACCAGGACGTTAATTTGTCTGCAAAAATGTATTTTGAAATTTGGTCCAGGATGGGATCAGACATGTTCTAATTTCCTCAAAGAGCTTCAGAAGTTGGAGAAAGCCCAGCTATTGTCTGTGACTGAGACACAGGCTTCCTGGAAACAGAGAAATGCTTTTTGGAGTGTCCCTTCCAACTCTATGGTTTCTCTGGACCTTGCATCTTGTAGTGGTGCAAGAACACGAAGCATGTATAGACCATGCTCATACACACATGTGTATGCAAAGCACATACCACAGACACATATGCACACGTGCATGCCCACATGTGTGCACACACGTGAGCATATATGCACACTCCCACAATATACATTTGCATGCAGGCACACATAATCTGTGTGCATATGCATACACATACACATGCATGTGTGCACATACAAACACACACATGGTCACACAAACACCAAAAATACTTGTTCAGGCAGTGCGGCTGCCATGGATGTAGAGGA